GTCATTCCTTTGGAAATTTATTTTCTGTTTATGTAATGTTAACTTCTTTCTGAAGAGGTTATTTATTGTTAACGGTACCCAAGTAGGAATTTTTTTCGTAGTGGGAGTTAAAGTTATTATGAACAGTTATTTTATTGCTACAATGTAAAAAAAAATTAGAAAGGTTTAGAAAACGTGATCATGGATTTAAAAATTGGAAAAGAGAGTTAAATTTGGAGAGGTTTCACCAAGCTAATCTTAAAGAGGAAGTTTGTAAATAGTAGAGTTGGATTGATTATGATTTTTTTAAATATATTTTGGATTTGTTATTATTTCTTGACCAGGAAATCCTAATAAATGTCTAGTAAAAATGGAAAGTAGCACTTTCTTCATATATTTCTTTGAATAATTGATTTAATTTCATTTCATGCTGGCAGGGAAATTAGTTAAAAAACATTCATTATAAAATTCGCATAAGAAAGTGGAATTTAAGGTAGGTAAAACGACTAAGAAACAACCCCATGAAATAGTGAAACCTGTTCAACATCCTTACATTTATAGGTTTCGTATATCAAAACGTAACATCAAATTTGAAAGCAAATGAAACCCAATTTCAATTAATAAAGAAGTGAATTTAAGTTTTCCTCTTTAATACCAATAGGTGCGTTAATGAGGCTCATTAACAAACCGATAACAATTGCGTTACTTAAAGAGTTCGATTTAATATCGAAATAGAAAACAATTAATTATTTGCTTACAATATCCACAATCCAACGAAATTAACACAATTATTGCAGTCGCATGAATGTTACATACTAACATAAAGCCATGGCGTTCGGGTTAATCGATCATTCTATACTTTATGGGTCAATTCTTCTTAGTTTAGGGATAGGAATGTATTTTGGTTTTTGCAAAAAATCTGTTTCCACTGATGCTTACCTTTGGGCTGCCTTTGCCATGGAATTTTCTAAAACAAAAAGATATCCAGTTATCAATTAGCATCACTTCGACATGGATTTTATGATCGACTTGGTTACTGTATTGCAGTTAATGGTGACTTATTCGAACATGTATTGTAAATTGTTATATTAGGTAACCGTTTTTAGTAATTTGGTCTTTCTTTATGTTGAATTCGCTGTTCTAAATATAATACTTTCTGATAGAATTTGATTTGTTTTATAGCAGACATTCCATGGCATGACGGATATTGGCGTAGTTTTGTATTATAAAATTCCATGGCATCACAGATTATTGAAAAAGATGGGGGTTTTATTTTTCCAATTTTCCGCCTTTATTATACAAAAAATTGAAAACTAATACAGGTGATTGACGTAAACAATTTTTTTCTACAAAAAACCTTAATACTTTTTGGCTCTAAAATAATTTGGGGAGCAAATAATCGCATGATATGAATTTTACATTGAAATCCCTATGATGCGTTACGCAAGTCACCACCCTGTATATAATAAAAATTAAATTACATGCTCAAAATAGCTTCTATGGTTAGCGAAGTAGTGATCTTTCATAAAAATGATTCCTAACATTTTGCACCTGAGTAATAATAATAATAATAATTTATTGTCCAAACAGACTATCTAGTCTAAATACAGGACAAACTTAAATATTGTTCAATAAAAGCCGCACAGAAATTAAAAAAATTACCAAAAATTGAACAAAAATTATTATAATGATAGATTAATAACTAAAGCGAAAGAAAATTGTTAACAGAGCTATACAATAAACAAAATAAAGTCATAAATCAAAATACAATATTAGTAAATTAAAGAAATTGTATTAGTGCAATGGCAAAAGCAAAAAAAAAGACAAAAATTACTGGATCATACTTATAAGGAATTTTAAATTAGTGTTAAAAATATCAACAGTATCGCATACCGAGTTATAATTATGACACATTGGATAAATTTGGGAATTTTGTAAGAGATTTGTTCTGCAATAGGGTAATTTGAAAGTTAAGAAATGCCTGGAGGAAGAACGAGGCACAGAGAAATTTAAATAATTGTGTAATGTGACACAATCAATTTCATTTCATAATTATTTGTACAAGAACGACACACTTATTGTTTTACGTCTGCTACTCGACGGTAAAAGATTGAATCTTTCTAGCAGCTAGATATTTTAAAAGAGGACGTTGTATACGTTCTAGGTATTTTTCGTGTTTTTTTAAATGCTGGATTCCATACTAGTACACCATATTCAAGCTTGCTTCGTACAAATGTAGAAAAAAGTAGTATAATAGTTGACAAACTTGCAAAATCTGATCCAATGCGTATAATAAAAAAACCTAAGGTTTTAAAAGATTGCCTAACAATTGTATCAATGTGTAAGCTAAATGTTAGCATGTTATTGAACAGAACCCCTAAGTCTTTTGTTTCAGTGTCTCTTTTTAAGGGTGTATTTTGAATTTTCTTTCGAAATTGGTTTCTAGTCCATAACCTTTGATTGAGAAGTCTGATCGAAAAAGTACGAATTGATTTGGATCCTGCGCACCAAAATTTTCTTTCGAAATTGGTTTCTAGTCCATAACCTTTGATTGAGAAGTCTGATCGAAAAAGTACGAATTGATTTGGATCCTGCGCACCAAAATTAATAATAAAAAGTGTTTTCCCGAGAAATTTTGGTGCGGTCGATTTTTGGTAAAAAAGGAAGGTTATACACTGCCTTTTTTTGAGCTCCGAAAAAAAAATGTTCCAGATCGACCCGGAAAAAAAAGTTCTTATAGAATGTGGCCTGTAGAATCCATAATTTCAAACAGTTCCAAGATTGGGCTACTAGTTCAAAAGTTACAGCACTTTGAATTTTCTTTCGAAATTGGTTTCTAGTCCATAACTTTTGATTGAGAAGTCCTATCGAAAAAGTACGAATTGCTTTGGATTCTACGCACCAAAATTAATAAGAAAAGGTGTTTTCCCGAGAAATTTTGGTGTAGTCGATTTTTGGTAAAAAAGGAAGGCCTTTTTTTGAGCCACGAAAAAAAAATTGTCCCAGATCGACCCGGAAAAAAAAAGTTCTTATAGAATGTGGCCTGTAGAATCCATAATTTCAAACAGGTCCAATATTGGGCTACTAGTACAAAAGTTAATTTGAATTTTCTTTCGAAATTTGATTATAACTTTTGATTGAGAAGTCGATCGAAAAAGTACGAATTGTTTTGGATTCTACCAAAAATTAATAAGAAAAAGTGAAGTTCTCAAGAAATTTTGGTGCAGTCGGTTTTTGGTAAAAAAGGAAGGTTATACACTGCCTTTTTTTGAGCTCCCAAAAAAAAATGTCCCAGATCGACTCGGAAAAAAAATTTTCTTATAGAATGTGGCCTGTAGAATAGAATAGAGTAATGTTACATAAGATATATTTTTAAGGTTAAATAATTATAGTTTGTAGTAGTTTTTTTATACTACCTATACACTAGTCATAATAGAGACAATATTTTTCCTAATTTGTGCAAGGTTATTGCAAAATATATCAATACTATGTTTATTGTAATAATTGCACATTCGATACAGCGGCGAATTTTGTTAATGTGATGGTCGAGGTATACCAATTTCAAAAGTTCTTTGCTGTCTAATGTTTTTTCTAGGAACTGCAAGTTTTAATTGATGTAGGGTTTGAGTGTGTTCAATTAGGTGGTGAGTTATTTTATATAAGTATAACATCGAATTAAGTTGAGAGTATTGCTTAAGTGATAATAGTTCAGTATTAGATAATAATAATTCGTAATCAGCGTGATCAGGATAGTATCCATTCTTTCGGTAATATACATATTTCAAAAATCTTTTCTGGGCTGACTCTCACATTTTCCAATATTTTTCATACATTGAATTCCAAATCACCGAACAGTAATTAATTTTGCTCAAAACGTAATATCGGTACAAAGTAAAAAATGTCTGCCTATTAGTAAACAACTTACAATTTCTTATTACAAAACCGAGGGTTCTACTACAACTGTTTGTTAGTTGACAATGTGTGAATTAAAATTAAGTTTTGAGTCAAACAGCACACCTAAGTCACTTACTTCATCTTCAGGCCGTAGCCCAGTATCACAAAGAAAATAACTAAAAGTAATGAGATATTCCTTTCTTCCGTAACTCACCACACAGCATTTATTTATATTGAGAGAAAATTAAAATTAAAAGTAAACGTGAGAGCGCTCGCGAAAACACGTCTATATGCCTGTACAACTCAAAACTATACTTCAAATAATACTCAGGAAGGTTTCAGATATTCTATTTTTCAAATCCGGAATGTCAACTGTCTCTCAGATCAAACACTTTTTGTGCTAAATAACCCCACAGGAAATAATCAAGCATTGAAACCGTTCCATCCGCCTATATCTCTGCAAACGACTGATTTTAAAATTTCATTATTTGTTCATCAGCACAATGTGGTGATGCTGGAAAATAATGCCGCCATTTGGCTATTAAAAATTTAAAATCATGATTTCCAAAGTAAAATCCATTTCCACTACCAAGTGCAACGGGGTATACTTGACATTGCTTCAGAGTCAGTGTCCCTATTAACCAAGGCTTATAAGAAGACATGGTGCCTGGAAATCATCAAAATGTAGCTCAAGGATACGTAGATGCTTCTTTAGAAAATAAAAAAAGTCCAGAAAAACACGAAGATTGCAAAAGAATTTAATGAAACTGTTACTGTTACTGCTTCAACGTCTTCGTGAGGTTCGAATGTTCACATATCTGATGAATTGTGTGTAACTGCTGGAAATTGTTGTATAAAAATAGTCGTAATATTGGTTCAAATTTGTAAAAATAACTAAATTAAGGTGCTGTAGTCAATTACGTAAGTGAGCGTTATAGAGATTAGAAGTAATTAAAAAACACACCGGCAATTTACAAAATTAACGTACTCGCACAAAAAGCATTTAATTAGTAGATTAGTAAGAGAAAATGGAAATCATTTGCACACAATTAGAACCAAATTGATATATAATTTATTTAATATTATTTCATTTAACTTCTTATCGTTACACGAGCACTACCTCCACTATGGCGTTTGGCTTAATTGACCAAGTTATATTTTATGGTACAATTTCTATTAGTTTAGCTATCGGGGCGTATTTTGGATTTTACAAGAAACCTCAGTCTGCTGATGACTATCTCCTGGGTGATCGAAAGATGAAGGTAATCCCGGTTGCGCTCTCAGCGGCTGTCAGGTAAAATCGGGATATTGTTACATGGGTCTAACTAGCAATTTTATTGCAGTCATGTTTCAGGGGCGTTATTGTTAGGCCAGAGCGCCGATGTTTACGTGTACGGTGTAAATGCGACTTGGAATATACTGGCATGCTTACTAAGTAGCGTTATTAGTGTCTTCCTCTTCGTGCCGGTGGTAACCAAGCTAAATATTTCGAACTCTTTCGAGTACTTAGAGTTGCGATTCGATAGAAGGATTAAGATCATGGCATCCTGCGTTTATACAATGTACCTTTTGCTGTACAATCCAGTTGTGGCGTACGTTCCAGCAATTACTTATTCGCAAGGTACCTACAACCCTTGAGAGAGTGATAGTAAAATTAATGGTTCGTTTTAGTCACTGGTGTAAATCCACAAATCGTGGCTCCCATTTTGTGCGTAATCTGTGTATTTTACACTACCGTCGGAGGATTTAAAGCGGTGGTATGGACGGACGTATTTCAGTTTCTTGGAATAATGACGGGCATTTTTATGGTGATTGTGCTCGGAGTAACGTCTGTAGGTTTTGATGTGATTGTAGATAGGGCGGCGCATGGTCATCGGTTAGACCTTAAGTATTGAAAACCATCTTCTAGCTAAATATATATCGGTTTTTCAAGTTTCAGCTTCAATCCTACGTTGAGAGATGGATTTTGGCATATTATCATTGGGGGTACGACCACTTGGATATTCAGCCTAAGTTTTCATCCAGTAACTGTGCAAAGATATTTATCGCTCTCTAGGTTTTCCAGCGTTCAAAGGTAAATGCTGTGTATAAGTATACATAGAGTAATATTACGTTTAAGAGTAATGGCTATCCAAGCTTGTGTAATAGGACTATTAATTTTCATTTGTTCCGTTGTTGGACTTATTATGTATGCCACATATAACACCTGCGATCCTATTACGACAGGTGAGGTGTCACGTGCTGATCAACTTCTACCGTATTTCGTGATGGATGTTGGCCGAGGCATTCCTGCACTCTCCGGTGTTTTTCTTGCTGGAATCTTTAGCGCTTCCTTAAGGTAGAACACAATGAAGTGTTTGTAATAATTATACAAAATGCCTGGCAGTACTCTCTCATCATCGTTCAATACGATGGCGGCAATAATATATGGAGACATGTTAGCGCCGTTCCTATCCAGAAATTTCTTGCATGGTAAAGAAACTTGGATTTTAAAACTGATTGTAGTTATATTGGGGGCAGTTACCACATGTTTTACCGTACTTATAGAGCGAATGGGAGGTGTATTCCCACTTGTTATTGCCCTTTTAGGTCTCGTGTACGGAATACTTGGTGGAATATTTTTGCTTGGAGTACTATTTCCTAAGGCCAATTCACTGGTAAATGTGGACCAATTAATTTTCAATTCACAGTAGTCTTGCAGGGCGCTTTACTAGGCACAATTACAAGTACTTTCGCTATTGGTACAATTGCAGTATTGAATCATTGGTACAGTTTGCAAGGGGCAAATGAAAAGTTCATTAAACCAATTTCAGTGGAAGGTTGCTTGGTTCCTACAAATGTGACGTTGGTTAGGTGAGAAAGTATTGTCCAATTGTGTCATAATCGGTTGTTACCTTTCAGAAAACATTTAGAGCATGAACCGTTTGTACTCTTTCGCATCTCTTTCTGGTACAACTCGGTAATGGCTGTGTTGGTGGTGATCATTGTTGGTCTTCTTGTAAGTTGTGTTACAAAGCAAAGTACTGTTGATCCATCCCTGTTAAGTCCAATAAGTCGGACGGACTGCAGCAAAAGAAACTGTAGACAAAAATACGTTGCTGGACTATCGCAGAGTGATCAAACCGTTTACAACTTCCAACGAGATGTGTAGCAATTATGAAAACTGCAAATTTAGATGGTATGGTTAAAGTATTATAACCTTATTTCAGAAATGGGTTCAATAAAATGCCGTTTTAATCAACTACATTACCTAACCCTTAGGACCAAGTCAACAAAAATATAACAGGACTGAAAATTAAGTACCATAGTTCTCCAGCGTTTTATTTTTTTTAAAGAACTATTTTATAAATTTAGACCTTTATCTTCAATTTTTTTTAAAAAGTTTATAGCAACTGAATACCGATTGTTTAAATATTAGATGTTTTGCACCGATTAATGCGCTAATTCTGTTTTATTTTTTACTCTTGATCAAGACGATTTATGGAAAAAGTAAACACAGTTTTCTAGATAAGTTACTTCTAACATTACCTACCCCAAAAAATGAAATCATATTTTTTGTAAATAAAGTCTGTATCTTGGCGGGCGGTAAATCCACAATTTGAGTGTAGCAAGTGCGCCGCTGCACAGTGTCGGCGGGATGTAACTAAGGACCAAGACAAGAGTTGACATAGCAAAAATATCATTTTGTCTCTCGCAACTATAATCATCTATACATTAGTGTAAAAAAGTTGCACTTAGGTAAAGAAGACCCTTAATAAAAGACGAATTAAAGGACTCTGCCCGTTAAAACCTCGCTCTAATAGATTTTCTTTAAAATAAGTAAAATGATTTTATACATATAAACAGAAGCTACTTACTCTCTACACTATAATATGGACATTATAGGGACTTATAAACTTATGCCTAATTAAATTCAAAAATTAATATTTACACCTGATTGTTTCTATATTTAACTAATCTATTATTAACTTTATGAATTTTACGATTATCATCTACTATATTTACCTTATCCTTATCTAACACCTTTATATGGTGATTCTAATTTCTGCCCTAGTCCTTATTGACGTGTTATTGTTTCTCTTCATAATATATGTACACTTTTGCACTACCTAATAGTTCCTTATCTCTTTTATGTGCTATACTTAACTTGAATTTATGTTCACTCGCGTAATCGGCTCAATTGTATATTGTCTGTCGATAGTGATTCTAACAAGGGTAGAAAGCCAGGGCCTAGGGGGTGTCGTTTTCTCGAAATCGGCTGATCGGGCTGATACCTTGGTATTAAGCACCAACAGGCACTGGTGAAGCACTAACGGTTGGTGCCGGTCCCGTAGTTAGTGCTTACAGTGGCCGCGCTAATTTCACGGACCTGTTATTGGTAGGGTGCCATCACAGACTGATCTCCTCTACCACCACCCATGGCATCCTAAAAAGAATAGATTTTACCTTGCAACATTAACACCGTCTCATTTATCGCGGTAATATCCTCAACAAAGTCCATAGACCAGCTAAGCGAATTACCAAATTAACCAACTTCAATTTCAAAAAAGCAGATTTTCTTAAAATGTACGTCCTTTTTCGCGATATCAATTGGAAGGAGTCTCTTATCCTGAAGAATTTCAAATCGGTAGATGATGCAGTAACTAGCTTTAATCAAACGGTAATGAACATTTTCGATGAATGTGTCCCCAAAGTTACAATTAGGAGTGCCAATAAGTATCCTAGCTGGTTTAATATAGACATTATTAAGAAAATCAAACAGAAAAATAAGTTTCGGTTACAGGGCCCATCGGAAGACTTCATTGAAGCCAGAAAAGAACTCAAAAGAATGATCCACATTGCTCATAAGAGGTACATTAATCAAATTAAAATGGATCTGCGGAAGAATTCCAATAAATTCTGGAACTACATCAAGTCGTTGAGGAAGAATAGTCAACTACCTGGAGTTTTTGAGTACAAAGACACCTCGTTAACGGACGCCAGAAGCATTGCGGACGCCTTTGCATCCTTCTTCGAGTCAGTCTACACTATGGAGAGGAACGATGACCCGGAAGATGACGTGGAATCGGACCTGGTGCTATCCAAATTGCACTTGACTCAGTTACATGAATCCGAGATACTGGAAGCAATTAAAAAATTGAAACCGAGGTCGGCTATAGGCGAAGATGGAATCCCACCCTACATCGTGAAAGGATGTGCATCTTTATTGGTAACCCCCTTACTACATCTATTTAATTTAGCTTTGCAAACATGTACATTCCCTGAAGCTTGGAAATGCACCAGAATAACACCAATTCACAAAAGTGGAAGCCGAAAATTAGTTGAGAATTATCGCCCAATTGCAATTATACCAGCAATAGCGAAAATTTTCGAAAGAGTGATCTATACTAGACTTTATTCCCATCTCAGCAGTATAATTGCAGATCAACAGCACGGTTTCACGCGGAACAGATCAACGATTACAAATTTAATGCAGTTTACGCATTTCTCAGCAGGAGCCTTGGATGAGAGAGCCCAGGTGGACTGTGTTTATACAGATTTTGCGAAGGCATTTGATACAGTATCCCATCAAGTCTTGCTCCGTAAACTTGTTTTAAATTGCGTAAGTAATCCGACCGTCAAATTCTTAAAATCATATTTATCTCTCCGTAAAACAAAAGTGAAATTCAATGGTGTGAATTCAGCCGAATTTTATCCCTCATCAGGCGTTCCCCAGGGAACACTTCTTGGTCCTTTTCTGTTTCTCTTATACATAAATGATTTACCGCGAGTGATAAAAAACTCGAAAGCACTATTTGCGGACGACCTAAAACTTTTTAATAAAGTCCAATCCCCAAGTGACTGTTTAAATATTCAAGAGGACATTAACTCAGTAATTAAGTGGTGTATCAAAAATAAACTAAAACTAAATATCAATAAGTGTAAAGTCCTTACTTTTACTAGATCGAAAAATCCCTTACTTTTTGACTATAAGATGAATGGAAAGGTCTTACTACGAGTCACCTCCGTTAAGGACCTGGGCGTGTTTTTCAATACCAACCTTAACTTTAACTTACACATTGAATACCTAACAAATGAGTGTTACAAACTTCTTGGTTTCGTTATCAGGCATACACTCAATTTCACGAATATACAGACAATGCTAACCTTATATAATGCGTTTATTAGATCCAAGCTTGAGTATGCTGCATGTATCTGGTCTCCTCAAACTCTCAAATACTCAGACATGATCGAAAAAGTGCAGAAAAAGTTCATCCGAGTAATGTTTTTAGGTCAACCCAAAATTATCCACATTTGATCTCTTACGGTACCCAGCTTAATTACTTAAATAGTACTTTCGGCTTAGATATAACGAGGTTAGAAACCCGACGGTACATTGCCTCCACAATTTTTGTCTTCAAAATTTTACACAACTTGTTATACTCTTCCGAATTACTTCAAGAAATTAAGCTTAAGGTACCATTTGTTAAGCTAAGGCAAAATAATACTATTTTTGTAGTTAACAACACAACTTCCCCACTTATTAAGATCTTGATCGCTTTAAATAAGTTATCCTCAGTGAATGATATCGACTTTTTTCACGATCCCCTAAATTCAATAATAAATAAAATTAGATCCTAGTCCTAATATTTGTTCAGAGCCCCAGTGCCATGTAATTGGAATTTTTATTCTGTATGGTTTCTGGTTAAATAAATAAATAAATAAATAAATAAATGAATGGAAAGGCTACAAAATCGGGTGCCTTTTCTGCATCAACAAGTTTACGTAATATATTCCGACTTTCATCGACTGTTTTCTCTGAAATTCCCCCTCGAATCTTAATTTCATAATTCAGTTCAGTTTCCCTCGGTTAATGTCCATATCTAATAACAATTTCTCTATTTAAAAAAATTCCCAAGAACAGGCAAGAACACTAGGTAAATATGTACAAAAGTAAGGGTGAGCTATAACGAAGTTCCACGAAGATTGAATTTAGAACATGAACAACTTCACGGCGATGGGGCATATATCTTTGGCTACTTTGGAACTTACTCAAAGTTGAGCGCCACCCAGCTTCTCTATTATCGTAAATCTAGCAGCCGCTACTTCGCTAGCTGCTGGTAAGGTAGGTAAGTGTGACTTAGGCTTTTATGTCTAAAAATATGTGTACCAAATCTCGTCCTCCTTAAGACAATAAAATTGGAAGGCCGTCTGGTACACCTTATAGCCTATACTACAATTTTCCTAAAAGTAGTTAAAAATTTCAGACGTGGGTCTGGACGGACGAACGAACGGGCGGAGGGAAGGACAGACGGACGAACGGACCGACAGACAAAACCCAAAAAAATAGCACTTTTTTTCTTGATACCTGATACTTGTAAGTGGCTCTTAAATCGCTTGTAATTCATGCTTAAAAATTAATTTGAAATAAGTAAAGGTAAGCATCAGAGATATGGCTACTGTGAAATGGACCTGCCCGCCTTCAACCATTATATCTATTTGACATTTTGAGGGTGGAGCTCCAAAATTATTACTTATATAATTAAAAACTTTTTAACAGCTCGTAATTCATGGATACAAATTAATTTGTAATAAGTAGAGAAAAATAGAGTAGGGGCTACGCCAGAATAAACCTGGTCGCTCTCAGGATGACATCTATTAGCTATTTTAAGCGAGTGGCGCTCAAAAATTGCAATTACTTGCAAATGGAAGCTCTTAAAAAGCTCGTATTGTAGTAGTAATTGAAATAATTGGTGTGGGGGGGGGGGGCTCAATCCAAGTAGACGCGGACTCACCACAAGAAATTTTAAATTTCTAGTGATTTAGCGACCTCTAAAATTTTAATGTTTCTCTTCCCTTGCATTTCACCTGGTATAGATACATTACCATTTTAACGTAGACAAAGATTAACCGCACGTGATATTTTGACGACCTGGGTAGCGACGATTGATAAAATAATTGCGTAAATTTAAATTCAAAGCTAATCACTAGAACTGACATTGAAAAAATCTCACGTGCAACTTCAAAAAGCCTGAAACCTGACCCTCAAAACTTGAATTCACTCGAGGAAGAATATAATTATGCAATAAAAACAAGTAACTACAAAAAAAGAAATGGACAATTTCCAGAAGTAATGCATTGACAAGCACTCAGAGGCAAATAATTAACTTTAATTAACTTAATTAGCAAGACATAATAGTAACAATTTTCATACAATACCCACCAAATTAACGAAACTATTGCAGTCGCACGAGTGTTACTTCCATAAAGCGATGGCGTTCGGGTTAATCGATCATGTTATACTTTATTGTTCAATTTTTCTTAGTTTAGGTATTGGAATGTATTTTGGTTTTTGCAAGAAATCTCATTCTACTGAAGACTATCTCTTGGGCGACCGTAAGATGAAGGTAGTACCCGTCGCGGTCTCAGTAGTAGTCAGGTAAAACCGACAAATTTTGATGTAAGCCTAAATCGCAATTCTATTGCAGTTATATCTCAGGGGTTACGTTGCTAGGGCATAGTGCGGATGTTTATTTGTACGGGACAAATATAGTTTGGACTGTACTCTCATGCTTGGTGGCTACCGTTATTGGTGCCTATCTTTTCCTGCCAGTGATATGCAAGCTAAAGACTCCAAACGCATTTGAGTACTTAGAGTTGCGATTCGATAGAAGAGTTAAGATGGTAGCATCCTGGGTGTATACGGTGAACCTTTTGCTGCAAAATGCAGTTGTGGCATACGTTTCAGCAATTACTTATTCGCAAGGTTCAATCCTTGAGGGAGTGATAGCAAAATTAACGTTTCGTTTTAGTAACCGGTGTGAATCCACAGATTGTTGCTTTCATTTTGTGCGTAATATGTCTATTTTACACAACCATTGGGGGATTTAAAGCTGTAGTATGGACGGACGTATTTCAATTTGTTGGAATATTTGTAAGTGTTGTTATGGTGACTGTGCTGGGATTAATCTCGATAGGTAACTTTGGTGTCACACTAGAGAGAGCAAAGCATGGTCAGCGACTAGACTTTAAGTATTGAAAATCATTCACTAGTTAGATCTACATTGGCCTTTCAAGTTTTAGCATCGATCCTACCCTAAGGGATGGATTTTGGCAGATGTTAATTGGAGGCACCACCAGTTGGATATTCCTCGTTAATTTTCATCCTGTATCGGTGCAAAGATATTTGTCTCTCTCAACGTATACCAATGTTAAAACGTAAATGCCAAGTATAAATTTACATACTGTATATTAAGTTAAACCCGTAGAGTGATTGCTATCCAGTGCTGCGGAATGGGACTCGTTATTTCCTTTTGTTGCATCATTGGAATTATTATGTATGCGAGATATTACTCCTGTGACCCTATTACGACAGGTGAGGTAGCACGGGTTGATCAACTACTACCCTATTTCGTTATGGACGTCAGCCGAGACATTCCTGCAATATCCGGTGTTTTCCTTGCTGGAATCTTTAGCGGTGCCTTAAGGTAACATATACGATGATATTATTAATAATTATAGAAATTCGTGATAGTACTCTATCCTCAACGTTCAATACATTGGGGGCTGTGACATATGAAGACGTGTTCTCCCCGTTTCTCGCCGAAGATTTCGTACGTGGCAAAGAAACCTGGATTTTAAGACTGATTGTTGTTATATTGGGAGCTATTATCACATTTTTGACATTGTTTGTAGAACAAATGGGTGGTCTGCTACCGTTTGTGGGTATTACATTGGGTACAGTGTTCGGAATACTTGGTGGAATATTTTCTCTCGGGCTACTATTTCCTATGGCCAATTCGTTGGTAAATATAAACAAATATGATTTTTAGTTTAAAGTATTTTTCTAGGGCGCTTTACTAGGAGCTATTACGAGTACCTTTACTATTGGCACAATTGCAGTACTGAATCACTGGTACACTTTACAAGGGGCAAATGAAAAGTTCATTAAACCAACTTCAGTGGAAGGTTGCCTGGTTCCCACCAATATCACACTTGTCAGGTGAGAAAGCGTTGTCCAATTCAGTCATAGTCGGTTGTTATCTTTCAGAAAACATTTTGAGTATGAACCGTTTATACTCTTTCGGATCTCTTTCTGGTACAACTCCGTGATGGGCTTCTTTATGGTGATCATTGTTGGGCTATTTGTAAGCTGTGTTACGAAGAAAAGTACCGTCGATCCATGCCTTTTAAGTCCTATAATCCGAAAGCATTGCGACGGCATGACGTGTACACAGAAATACGTTGCTGGTGTGCAGCAACAGAGGGATGAAAATATTTACAACTTCTAGGAGGCTGTAGCATGTAATGGTTGTAATCATTACTTCAATAAATTGCTGTTACACTCAACCACATCTATCTTTTTTTTATTATCCGACTGTATTTTGTAGCAAAGTTAAAAAACTCAATTAAACCTTAGTCACCTTCTCTGTACGTATTTCCACAAATGTTGCATATCATCAAGATACTCTCTATTCTCTAATGATTCAGCCCATATTTCTTTGAAAGCAAGCCTCACATGTTTTACCCCAAACGGGAGATATCTGTCAGCTTCAAAATATCGTAACCGGAATCATCCGCACCCGGACCCTCTGTCGAAATATCATCCCGCACGCCGAACCCACTTCCGAAATATGATCTCGAACCAAAATATGACGTTGCACCTAGGGCCATTTTCCAAAATTGTCCCCTACCTACTGTCTTTATTTATTGAGTTGATCCAATCTGGGCTACACGAGGGGTTCAAATTTGGAAAGTATCTACTAGATCAAGCAATTTAAAATTATTTTCAGCTTGGCTGGAATTGTTCCTATTGTTCTTACTTCCTCTGAATCCTATGGAACCACTAAAATCATGCTACTGTTCACTTTTAACTTAAAGTTGAATAAGTGATAGTACATATGATCTGGCTCACAGACACCACGCGCCCACCTGCGCTGTCCATTAGCGATTCTGCCTTTGCACTTCTTCTTTTTATGTCTAAGACATGCACTCGGTTCAGCCATTTATTCGGAAATGACAGTACAGACAGACTGACCGAGTGACCGACACCATATACACCAAATACAGATTCTAATGCAAAAAACAGCATCTCGATATCTCACAAAAACGGTACCCTTGAAGTACAATAGGTCCTGAACAATTAAGGTCTCTGAACCAAACCAAAATTTACATACATACATAGCCATATTCTAAACAATTGTCAGTTATGGTAATCCTACAAAAAAAAATGAATTTATATTTACTATACGTTATTAATTGACGTTCCCACGAGTTATTTACGTCATTTTTGTTAGTAATTAAACAAAATAATTAAACGGTTAACAATTTCCATAATTCTGCACTTGTTCAACATGATGCGACGTAATGCCATCAAAATACAAAAAAAATTCCACTGAAATTTTCAGTGATCCTCAGCCTAATTCTTTAGGTAACAGTTTATATGATGTTATTGAAGGCATTATTCATTTTGTTGTCCACACGACTTTAATCGCAATCCGTGTCGAACCCGGACCTGGATTTTGGAACAAAAGAACTCACTTTTCCTATCACGAAATCTTAAAAATAGATTTCTTCTTTCCAAACCAGATTGCGTAAGTGCCTTCTACTCCCCATGTAGAGAACTTGATTACGAAGTACGTAATAAAAACAAGAAACGTATTCGCAAGGGCTCAAAGGCATCTAGTCTTAATTAATGAGACAATAATGTGCATACAAAAATCCACACATCTACAATCCATCGAAATGTCTGTCGAATGAGTTACTTGCACAGAGCAATGGCGTTTGGCTTATTCGACCAAGTTATTTTTTATGGTACAATTCTTATTAGTTTAGGTATCGGGGCGTACTTTGGATTTTGCAAGAAACCTCAATCTACCGATGACTATCTCTTGGGCGACCGAAAGATGACGGTAATCCCGGTTGCGCTCTCAGCGGCCGTTAGGTAAAGTCGAGATTTGTTACATGGGTCTAAATCGCAATTTTCTTGTAGTCACATTTCAGGGGCGTTATTGCTAGCCCAGAGCGCCATGTTTACTTGTACGGCGTAAATGTGACTTGGGATGTACTGGCATGCTTACTAGGTAGCGTTATTAGTGTCTTCTTCTTCGTGCCAGTGATAACCAAGCTAAAGATTTTAAACTCTTTCGATTATTTAGAGTTGCGATTCGATAGAAGGATTAAGATGATGGCATCCTGGGTACGGTGTACCTTTTGCTGTACAATCCAGTTGTGGAGTACGTTCCAGCAATTACTTATTCGCAAGGTACAACCCTTGAGAGAGTGATAGTAAAATTAATGGTTCGTCTTAGTCACTGGTGTAAATCCACAAATTGTGCGTAATCTGTGTGTTTTACACTACCGTCGGAGGATTTAAAGCGGTGGTATGGACAGACGTATTTCAGTTTCTTGGAATAATTACGTGCATTTTTACGGTGATTATACTCGGGATAACGTCTATAGGTGGTTTTGATGTGATTTTAAAGAGGGCGGCCAATGGTCATCGTTTAGAGCTTAAGTCGGTATAGAAAACCATGTCTATTAGTTCTATATAGATCGGTTTTTCAAGTTTCAGCTTCGATTCTACGCTCAGGGATGGATTTTGGCATATGATCATTGGGAGTACGACCGCTCTATCCCCTCTTTCTAATCGTTTGAGGGTTGAGTGTTGAGTGAAGGTAAACGCCCTAAAAACTGTATCCTTTAATACAGCGTTAAGCTTTAGAGTCGTCACACTATCACAGCTATCACCTTTGATACACCTTGCCGACAATAAACCCACCCCGTTTTTCCGTCTTTTTACTCCAGTCTAAACCAGTGTGTTTTAATTATCTTTTGTCGTAGATTTTCAAGTTTTTCCTTCTGACGTTCCCAGCCTCAATTAACCGTTTTCCTTTTCCTCGTTGTTTCGCTTGAGTACACTATTGCACTAGGTACTGTCCACGCCGGAGATCCGGGTTAGAGAATATTATTAGCTCCGGAAAATTTAACATTCGGAGGATCCTTATTTCTTTACATATTTTTTTAGCGCCTTTAATGAAGACCATCCTGACGCCGTTGGTCCCTATGATTTCCTCCGCTTTTAAGGTCATTTTATGAACAACAGGGTGCCTCGCTATTTGCGATCTTCTTTAAAGTCGTCCGTTTTTTAAGGGAGTTCATTCCACATCGACCCCTTACGAAGTCAAACCTATTTTGAGAAACCGTATCAACCATTTCTTACTAAATTCCTGTGATTATATTTATTATATTATAGATGAATACAATCTGCCTATACAGAGTGATGATCTTGTCTGGAACACTGGATATATCTTTAAAACAACGTTTTTGAAGGAAGTCTTTTATGGTAACCAAAATTATGAAAAGTTTGCTACCAATCTCCGCACTTTAACCAGTGGCGTACTTCTGCATGGTCAAAGGGGGGCTAATTTTTTTAATCGAAACCACTAGTTTTTGTACGTACACTTTTTTAGATATAGCAGCATAAAAAAATTATTATATTACGTAATCAAATTTAAGAGAGGATTAAGGAAAATGGCTGTGTTAATTAATATAATAATAATTATTAAAAGTTGTTACTAATTTAAATATTAACAATAAGGTAACTTTTACTACTACCTTAAAATAAATCCATTATGAAAATGCCCTTATTAAATTCTCCCTTAAGATTAGTTCTTTAAAATTCAATTTAAATATGATTTATCAATACAGCTTTCGCAAATAAATTTGCCCACCGCGTATTTATGCATATCGGTAGTATACTATTACATTTATTTTATTATGAAAACACTAAATCAAGTTGTTTCTCAATGGCCACAAATGAAAATCGGAAGTATAATTTCTGAATTATTCCGTTCGGTCAGCGAAATTAAAACAGTTCAGTCATTAAATTGATAGGAAACGTTAGGGGATCCAAAGAAGTTTTGTCGTCCTTTTATCTGATTCACTGGCTGGAAAGTGGAAAGCGCGAAACAAATTTATAGTCTCTCTAAACATGTCGCACTCTCCACGTTTCTTATTGTTCCATTACTGCTAATGTTGTTCGCTTTACAACACACAAAACATTTCCACGTGCATTTTATGGTTTTCCCACCGCTTATTTTCACAAGACGAAAATTGTTGCTTAGATACTTCAAGATAGACCTCTTTGAAACTGTTGTCTTAACGCTATCGGAATTTAAAGCGGGCGAGCTGGAGTTAAATCAGTGAAATAAAATGAAGCATAAATTCAAACAGTCAGTTTGTGAAGGAAAACATTTTAGACAAAGGGCTCGTGGACAGGACAGAAGAGATAATCCTTTAGATGAAGTTTTCAAAATAAAGTTGACGAAAGCCATCGACGTGATAAAGTCTAGTGAAGGGCCAATAGTAAATCGTAATACATCTCCGCACCTAATTTTCTACATTTGCGGAATAGCAAGAGTCAACGAAATGGAATGGTAAATATTAAAATATTCCTAAGAAACATACAAATCCCGGCCCATTTCCAGCAGAGCATGCTGATTTATTCATAATCTTAATGGAGCCGATAAGTGTTTGCGAGGTTTGCAGTTTTCTAATAGGGTCGTTTTTATTGAAATTTTTCATCGTTTCTCTTTATATAAGTAATTGAATTCGGGGAACGTAGTTTTAACGTACATTGTGTCGGCCGTTCGGGCGTTCATTAAAGGGAATTTTATCGTGAACGTCCGGTATGTGAAATGGAACTCTTGAACCCTGAGGGTATAACCCTAATTATAGCGAGCACATGAGACGCGTCGCTTTTCAGATAGTCGTAATGGAGATCAAGCACGCAGCGGGCGATAAGTTAAAGTTTAATTGAATGCGTTTCGGAGCTTTGAGCAAAAAATTTTAGGTCAAATTTTTGCTGGTGGGTTTCATTTAATTACAAGTTGATGTATCTTTTCGATTCTGAACCGCATACTTTGTCAATATTTTGTTCAGAAAATAGAAGGTATGGGTATCAGTTACTTCGGAAATTTACCATTGTTTACTAAGACGTGTCTTTAAATATCACGGGAGGACACTTCACTTTTAAATACTGCTACACATAGAGTTATTAAATTGGATGAAAATGCGATCCGTACACTTACTGTTAGCCATTACTCAAAGTCAAGATGACAAGAAACACGTAAGAAAGCTCGGGCTTCTAAAGGCAAGGTCGATAGCAAGAGGGAAAAATATAATCAAACACAATGTTTTTATATCCAAAAAAATAGACGTGCAAAAGTACATTAATAGCTATTAAGATAACTAGGCCGTTTATAGGTACGTTAAAGGCCCACTTAAATCC